ACAATCTGATGATAAAGTCACTCAAGAGTCTAAAACACGCCTGAAGCGTGGAAGGCCATTTGGTTCTAAGGATAAGAACCCACGAAAAAGAAGAGGAGCAGAAAATGCACTAGATCATGAGGAAAGTGTTCCTGGAGAAACACGAATTATTCAAATTCCCCCAGGAAAAGAGGATGATGCACAAAATTATGGTCAGCCAAATAGAATATGTGACCAAAATGAAACTGACAGTATAAATGCAATATTTCTTATTCAGCTGCATGTGATATTATGAATGATGATCCTGAACCACAATCTGTCATTGAATGTCAAAGAAGAAATGATTGGGCTAAATGGAAGGAAGCTATGCAAGTTGAATTAAATTCTCTTAACAAGAGAAAGGTTTTTGGGAACATTATCCTCACACCTGAAGTTGTGAAACCATTAGGATATAGATGGATCTTCGTACGAAAAAGAAATGAGAAAGACGAAATTGTAAGATACAAGGCCAGGCTTGTTGCTCAAGGTTTCTCTCAAAGACCTGAATTGATTATGAAGAAACTTATTCACCAGTAATGGATGCAACCACTTTCAGATATTTAATCAGCTTGGCAGTATCTAAAAATTTAGAGATGCGTCTTATGGATGTTGTTACAGCTTACCTGTATGGATCACTTGATAGTGATATCTATATGAAAATCCCTGAAGGATTTAAAATGCCTGAAGCGTTAAGTACAAAACCCAAAGAAATGTATTCTATAAAATTACAAAGATCTTTGTATGGTTTAAAGCAATCTGGGCGCATGTGGTAATCGTTTAAGCGATTATTTGACAAGTAAAGGTTATAAAAATAACACTATTTGTCCATGTGTATTTATTAAGAAAACAACATCTGGATATGTGATCATAGCAGTCTACGTTGATGATCTGAACATCATTGGAACGAATAAAGAAATCCTTGAAGTGATTGAACTTTTAAAGAAAGAATTTGAAATGAAAGATCTTGGAAAAACCAAATATTGTCTTGGTTTACAGATTGAGCATATGCCTAACGGAATACTTGTGCATCAATCAAATTACACAGAAAGAGTCTTGAAACGTTTCAATATGGACAATGCAAATCCTTTAAGCACTCCAATGGTTGTTAGATCATTAAATATTGACAAGGATCCATTTCGTCCATGCGAAGAAAATGAAGAAGTCCTTGGTTCAGAAGTGCCATATCTAAATGCAATTGGAGCTCTTATGTATCTTACCAATTGTACTAGACCTGACATTTCTTTCGCAGTAAACTTGCTAGCAAGATTTAGTTCAGCCCCAACAAAAAGACATTGGAATGGAATCAAACATATTTTTCGATACCTTCGAGGAACTAGTGATTTAGGGTTATTTTACCCTAACGATTCAAAACAAGGTTTGATTGGTTATGCAGATGCAGGTTATTTGTCCGATCCTCATAAAGCTAGATCTCAAACTGGATACGTATTCATGAATGGAGGTACTGCAATTTCCTGGCGTTCTCAAAAGCAAACACTTGTTGCCACATCCTCAAATCATGCTGAAGTAATTGCACTAAATGAAGCTAGTAGAGAATGTACATGGTTAAGATCAATGACACAACTAGTTTTAACTTCATGTGGACTTGAAAAGGATATATGTCCAACTTTAATATATGAAGATAACTCAGCATGTGTCGCTCAAATGAAAGAAGGATATATCAAGAGCGACAGGACAAAACATATACCTCCAAAGTTTTTTGAGTACACTCAAGAGCTTATAAAGAACCATCAAGTTGAAATCAAATATGTTCAATCCAGTAACAATGCAGCAGACCTTTTTACGAAGGCACTTCCTACTGCAATATTCAGGAAACATGTTCATGGCATCGGAATGCGACATGTGCATAGAATATAATGTGACAGATGTCTAAATAAGGGGGAGTAAACTATACACTGCACTCTTTTTCCCTTCGCTAAAGTTTTTTCCCACTGGGTTTTCTTTAGCAAGGTTTTTAATGAGGCAGTACTTAAAGGTTGAACTCTAATTTGAAATGATGTCATCCAAGGGGGAGTGTTGTAAATAATTGAATGACAACATTTCCTAATGTCAAATGTGTAAGAGTTATTTTCAAATCTTATGATAAATATGTCAAATATGTGTAAGAACTCTTTAATTATGTCTAGTGATTAACTAGTATAAATAGCACTATCACATATGTAAAAGATACACCAATTTGAATACTTTATATAAGTTATCAAATTCTCTCCAAATCTCCTTTTTTTCTTCTTTCTTAAAGGTTCTTAGTTTAGTTTTACTAATCTTTTAATTACATCAAATTTATAACAGTTACAATTTGTATTTTATAATGAAATATCATTAAATATTTAATACAAAGAATTAATTAATCATTAAATAAAAAGTATTTAAAGTTAAGATACATTCAAAGGCTAAAATGAAATATAATTGAAGTATAAAAGATTAAATATACAAAACGTACAACTATATTGGCGGCTCAAAAAGGATATATACAGTATCACTATATACTCCAATAAAAAAAAAAGAATAAAATATAATATAAGTTCTCTTTTTATAATGGTCTTAGTCCACTTAATGTATAGGCCCATTGTGTATTATTTTTTTTATGTATATCGGCCCATGGCCTCCATGATTGTACGATACCTATATATTTGATTAACCAAGAGGATATACTATCGTAGGAAAACATACAAATTGACAAAAACACTTTTCAAACTTTGTATCAATTTTTAATAAAATGATAAAAACTTTAGTTGTTTACATTAAACAAAAAAAAAAATTACTTAACCACCTTTTATAAAAAGAAAAAAAAAACATCATTTATGCATCTTCATGAAAACAAATATTATAAACCAAAGCCATCAATCGCCAACAATATTTCTCTTTCAACCAATTCGAACATCTCAAGTACCCGATCACCAAACTTGACGATTATATTCCGAGTTATTCGCTCCTCAAATTTGCAACTTTTGAGCCACACAACCCCAACATAAACATCACATGTGCACCATCCCGGTCTTCCATCCCTAACCTCGTACTTAACCTGAACCTGCATTTTCATATCCTTTATATAAATAATAATCTTTACACATATTTATTTAACATTTAAACTACTTTTATACAATATATATATAAACCAACAAAACATAATAGGGTCTAGTGTTAATTGATACTTACATAAAAGTGGTCGCCAAATGGCACATCATGTAGACACATCGCCTCGGTTACAATCCACCCTTCCCCATGATCAGTGGTAATGGATGACTTTTGCTGCGTGCATGTGACATCACCTCCAAAACTCGACACTCTTCTATTAAACTTGTAGCATAAACGTCGCTCAAAAAGATTGGAATCAGTGGTTACATGTTCCCAATTTGTTGTATTGTAATTCAAACACGACAATTTTTCCATCACTTTGTGCTCCAAGTTTCCTCCTTTAAAAACTCCATCACTGACTCCACCTATAAGTCAAAGTCGGGTAATTTATGTTTGTAAGCCTTATTTTGTTACACCCGACTAGAAACAAGTGGCCATTTTGTGATAAAAAGTTGAAAATAAAAGGTAGTCATTTTTTGATATCACATTCCCTTTTGGGTTGTTTTTGTGATTAGCCCAACAAATTAAATATCAATTTCTGTATGACCTATTTTGTCATGTCCTCTGTATCATAACAAACAATGCCTAAATGTTTTTTTTGGGTACTCACATTAAAAGGAAGTTCTTTCGAGTAAATATTGGTCATTTTTTCATCTTCAACCACCAAATGGGAAGTAACATCTTCGTATAAACACTTCTCATCTTGTTCATGTTGTTCCCAACCGGTTTTCTCATGTCCATCTTGATCGAATTCAATGATCTTGTTTTCCACAATGCCATAATAGTCCTGAATTTTACACAAAATTCATTCACACAACAAAAATCAATAAAACGTAACATTGTCATTATTATGTTTACCTGTTTGCAGAATGAAACGACACAAAAGAATGGAAACAAAATGGAGCCTTCCCTCTTCATCTTGAGACTTCGCACCATGTCTAGCATCTACACCTCGACCTTTATGCAGAACAATGACAAGTATTGGGCTCCCAACTGATGCCAATGATGGTGGAAGCACGTGAATGTCTTCAACATCTTCCCACAGGAATGAAAACCTTGTTTTTGTGTCCGAATAAATTGGCGTAAAACCCGATAATTCTTGAAGATACAAAGAGTCGACCCTGAAAAAATGAGATTAGAAAAATTATCGTAGTAAGTAATGGGTTTGATTTGGTTTTTTTTGGTGGGTCCGGGTATACCTGAAGGGGTAATTTTCTTTTGAGAGAGCATGAGAAATCACTAATAAGAAATTCCTCTGTGGCAAGCTAAAAAGCTTCTGGAATGTCGAATTCCTATGAGGTGACTTCACGTTTATCTGTTAAGTCGTAAACATAATTAGTAGTGATGTGCATAAAATCAATACAGAAACTATTTGGTTTTTCAATTCAGAAAAAACAGAAATTCGAGGTCAATTTAGTCATTTGCTTGAGATAAACTTCTTTGCTATTATTTAGAGTAAATTACACGAATGGTCCCAATGGTTTGGGGTAATTTGTGCGCTTGGTCCCTAACTTATTTTTTTAAACTCGGAAGGTCCCTACTGTTTGTTTTTATTTCGCGCTTGGTCTAATAGTATTTTTAGGTAAGACAGGAACCAAACGCGTAACAAAAAACAAACAATAGGGACCTTCCAAATTAAAAAATAAATTAGGGACCAAACGCATAAATTACCCTAAACCATAGGGACCATTCGTGTAATTTACTCTATTATTTATTGCCAAAATGAATCATCCGGGGCGACAAATACTTGAAACTTAGAAAAACCTTTTTCCCTGCTTCTTTCTCGACTTTTGTCAAATACTCCTTGATTGTTTCAACTCCATTATTATTATCCAAAAAAATCCTTAAATGCAACTTCGATTGAAAAGATTGAGCAAGTTTTCCCTCGAGTGGGACCCACATGTCCGCTAATTCATCAGACGTATGTCTCAAGAATCTAATCTCCGCATGCCCAAGTGAAGTCGGTTGACCAAAAGGACCATCGAAGTCAAAAACTTCAACATCCAATAACGACGGGGGTTCTTCAGCAGCATCAAACTCGAGAATTTCTGCAAGAATTTTAGCAACCAATCGTCATCAATTTTCAAGAATCTTGATAAACCAGTTAAAATTTTGACATCGAACAAACCATTCCATTGTGGATCGAGAGTTTGAAGCTTGACAGAACTTGTTCTTGTCTTCCCGTTACATGTCAACACTACAAAAGGATCTGAAAATCCCGAACAATCCAATGGAGCTAACTTGTTTCCCTCGATCAGTGCTACTGTAAGCACCCATCCTTCACCTTGAGCTTTGACGCCATGATCGTTTCCTGTCAACAATCAATTAGAGCATAAACATGTGCATAATCAATGAATTTTTGACGAGTGCTAAGGGGAAAACCCGAAAAGTTTACCTCTACTCAGTCTAGCTTGAACAAATCGGGAAACCATGATATAAACGCGCTCCAAGTTGAAGAAAATTACTCCACACGTAACAAATTCACCAAAAACTATCAGGCAATTCAAGCCTTTAACTCTAAACCTTGAATCCGATTCGGTTCACATAGTACAATATGCACAAAAGCATAAACAACCATGAAAACAGTAGAAAGCACGGTGAAATTACAAAAATACCCCACTGCCAATTCCCAATCGGATTGGTGATCATTCCGCAGAGCCTCCAACGTTTGATCTTTGTCTAATACAGTCAATTGATTCACGGGTTTGACTCTTTGACCAAGCAATCCTGTAAATTGGTCAAAACTCTCCTTCAATCCTTGCTTAGCACCACCTTCAATCATACCTTTCATCATTGTGCTTTGATGAAAAGTAATCCCCCAAGAAATTGTAATCCTTGAGGTTTCATCTCCTTCGTGGTGGGGGCCTTGTGTTATTTTATACAGTAATTCAATTCGAAAGGTACTCCCGTATGGAACATCAGGTGTATTTACTTTTACAAGAACGCAAAATTCTTTCCTATTTGCTTTAATGTAAGTTTGTTCTTCTGTAACTCTGTTAGCTTTGACCAATCTTGTTGCAGCTTTTGTGTAAGTAACTGTTCGGGTCAAAGATGACATTTTATCGGATTCCCATGTCCATGGGGACTCGTGAACATCTTTTGTACCCTGTGACGTTGCTAAATCTTTCCGGAATTGTGAATCGGGAGCAAAGAGTAGATGGTTTAGATCTTTTGGATGTATGACGTATGTTTCATCGATTAGAACACCTCCATGTAGATTTTCAGGAGTTTCCCTTCCTTCGTCTGCTGATTCCATGGTTTCCATTGATTCTTCGAAGGTTGTAGTGAAGGTGGATTCTTCTGTTGACTCACCGTTGTCGGATGAAGTTGTGGGTAAATCTGATGAATCGTATTTAATGGAGGATTCGTCATGTTTACTGAAAAGCTTCTCGAATCGGCCTGCAATGGCTTTCATCATCTTTTTTGGTGATTTTGAGGTGTTGGATTCGTGTGTTGGGCTTTGTCTGCCATCGTGTTCGTCACTACTGCCATTGGTGATGATCGGTTGTAAGGAGAATTGATGAACGTTTGATATGTCGTGGCCTCTCCCATGAAGTGAAAGTGCAAGAAGAATCTTCCCTGAAATTAATTTCAAATTTCAACACTATGATTGTAGACGTAAAATGATTGCTACATCGCATATAACAAATTAACAACATATAAAGATCATAAAATGATTTAAAGCTGGAAATCTAAGACACCCATCTTAATTTCAAAATTAAATTGTCGAAAGCTTGAGTCTTTAAGATAGAAGCTGAGTATCTCTATACATGGAGGATAGATTCTTAAGTCCTGATGTAGGAAAACAGAGAGATGAGTATGGAATACGAACCACATTCTTTATTGATTGATTTACGGGATTTGTGAGTTTCAATAGAAAACCAAGTCGGTGGCAAATGATGACTCTCTTCAGCAGCAACGGACCACAAAGGGATCCGAACCCGACCCACCAAATCCCTAGAACCATTGTGAAAGAAACCAATAGATTCATCATCGCGATGATAAACAGATACAATGAGTTCATCATCCTCTAAAGAATGAACTCTGAATGCAAACTCTTCGTTCCAAATAGGGTTTTTTGTGTTCTTTAAAACCCTTGTTCTTGATTTGAATTTTCCAACTCTGAGTTTTACAAAAGAGTCTTGAACGACCCAATCCCTACCCTCTAATACGTACACGTAGAGCCTCATTGTGTGGCAGAAAGATTGAACTTTTTTTTGGAAAATGAGATGGGTTTTGTTCGTATGAAATGGGTTTTTGATTTCTTGAAATGGGAATGAAGGAAATTGACTGTGTAGTTGCGGTGGATGACGATGGAGGTGGAGGTGGAGGTGGAGATGGAGATGAAGACGGCCATTGAAAGGGGAAACGTGGAGCGAGGTAAGTAGCGACACGAGGGATGTCGAGTTTGAAGAAAGAGAAAAGAAGGAAGAGTATGGCGGTTATGTCAGGGTATCATTTGACTTGATTCCGTTTTTTATATCATTATTTTTTTTTTTTTTACTTTTTACACTTTGTTGAATAAAACATTAGGAAAAATAACTAATAAAGAAAGTATTTAGAATCATATCAAGTTTAATCTTTAAGTTTAAAAAACTCACAGATGGTCTCTGTGGTTTTAAAACTTTTAACAAATGATTATTCCGACTTACTGCGTTAGCTTTTGACCGTTAAATCAGGGGTATTTTTGTCATTTCATTACCCAGGGACCATTTATGAGGTTTTCTATTACTTTTTTTTAAAATAAATAAATAAATTTAATATGCAAGATCCCACTTCTCTCTCTCTCTCTCTCTCTCTCTCGTTTGTGACTTCATCTGCAAAAAACGAAGGAGCTCCTCAAATTGCACACTTGATAAGACAATCCGAGCTTGTTTGAACGACCTTGGATCCCAAGCACGATCGTGAACACACAACACGCAATGACAAAGGTTCTAGTGATCGGAGCATTATTTGATCAATCAACAAAAGAATTATAAACAACTGATTCAAATTAGCAACAAGAAAGGGAATTTCAAAGAAATTGGTAGAAATACAAACTGAAACCAGATGGGCCGCCGTTCATCTTCCTTTAAAGTGAACCAACGACCTTCAATCTTGAGAGGGCCTTTTGTCGATTCAAATCTTTGTTCTACTATACCAATCTACGATGACGACTATAGTTTACTGGCAATTTTTCAGAGGGGTTGTAACGAGAAGAATTTGGTAGGTTAGGGTTTCACTTGTGTCACAAGCTAGCAATTGTTGGTAGGGGATTACTCTGGTAAAAAAGGTTTCATAAATTTCAGTACAAAACGTACTACCACCCCTATATTGGAAGGAGCTCCTCAAATTGCAGTCAAAGCTCTAATTTCTAGTTCATGTAACGCAATTAGATGCATCACAAGGGTTCTACAACGATTCATATACAGATGGATCTGAAAAACCCAAAATCAAACGGGAATATGTGGCAAAAAAAAAGTTCGTTCATCCCTAAACTATACAGTCAACACAAGAACCCACCCCCAATTTCAATCTGATTCGTTACCTATCGTGATTTACAGGTTTGAGATTCAACAAAAATCGAGACCCATCGTTGGGTCTCTTTGGTTAACTGATTGCGATTTCAGGATGCACAAGAAGGAAATCGGGACCCTTTGATGGGTCTCTTGGTCTCAATTGAAATCAACAAGTCTCGAGAATGTGATTCAAGATGGCAGAGGTGGCAATGACGTACCAGCAACAGCAAAACGATGGTGGCGGTATTTAGCTGGGGGCTGCTCTGGTATCCTTCTGCTGCTCTATTTCTGTTTTTGTTCCAGCGAGTTCCACAAGAAGGGATATGAAGAAGCAACGACAGGTGGCTGGAGGTTGTGTGGGTGGTTTATTGAAAGAAGAACAACGGTGGAATGGTGGCGGTTTTGTGGCAGTGGGTGGTAGCCCTACTGTTGGCTTTTCTTGCTTCTAGTGGTTCACAACACGGAAGGAAAAAAGAAAGCAGTAACAAATTTTCAAGGGTGTTTATCAACTTGCTTGATAGAAAAGGAATCGAAGGAGCAAAGTGTGGTGGTTTATGGCGGTGGGGCTTGGTCGACCAAAACGGTGGTGGCAGTAGGTGGTGTGTGGGCAGTGGGAAGTGGTAGAGTGTGACCGGAGAGGAGGCCAGAAATTGGTATCTCCGGTGGTTGTTTCTTCCACCGGTAAATCGGAGAGAGAGAGAGAGAGAGAGAGAGAGAGAGAGAGAAACAGAGAGAGAAAGAGAGAGAAGTGGGACCTTGCATATTAAATTTATTTATTTATTTAAAAAAAAGTAATAGAAAACCTCATAAATGGTCCCTAGGCAATTAAATGATAAAATACCCCTGACTTAACGGCCAAAAGCTAACGGAGTGAGCCGGAAGGACCATTTATTAAAAGTTTTGAAACCACAGGGACCATCTGTGAGGTTTTTTGAACTTAAGGACTAAACTTGATATTTTCGAAAACCACAGGGACCATTTTTGAAGTTTTGTCTATAAAAATAGTACTAATTTTTTTATGTATGTATTAGGTTACAACCCATGAAAACCACGGGTAACTATTTATATAACATAATATAAGTTTGAATATAGCTTAAAAAATAGAATCAATCATTGAAATGACATTGATATTCAAAAAACTAAATATAATAGAAAAATATGAAGATTTAAAAACATTTGCTTAAGCTTGAGTTGGATTTGGCCAGAACTTTTTCATGCGGATCTATCCCTGAAGGAATTAGTGCCGACACTTTTTACCAGCGACATGACTTTTAGTGGCGACTTAAGCTTGAGTTGCTGCTAATAGCCCATGTCATCGACAAAAGTGTCGCCACTAATTACATTTTTTCTTGTAGTGTAAGGAATGTCTTTTAATGTAGTAAGATATTGAAATTCGAATTTTGATCCTTATAATAACTTTTATCTTTTCGTCTATATAGTTTTAGTTTTTTTAATCTATCATTCTTAATTAATATATAGTTCTTTAATAAATTCATTTTAGTATGTGAAACTAAGTACCCTTCCTCGACCACATACACACATGCTTAGCAAGTAAAGTGTAATGTTAAGCATGTAAAGTGTAATGTTCCACTTCCATGTCTCATGTCAATTTAGCATAATTTTAGATGGTAAGGTTTTGTCATGATCAAGGACAAGATACATTTAGTTTCAATGAAGCACCATTAAAAGATACATTTTGTTAGAAGCACCACAAGGAATGTGAAGCATGAAGTCTTGGAAGTCTCCTAGTATATAGCCATTGTCCGTGTATTGACTCCCCATGTGTTTGATAAACTAATCCATTGTTTTCTCTTTGAAATCAAGAATCTAAACTAATCCATTGTTTTCTCGTTGAAATCAAGAATCTACACTCCAATTACATCGAACTTGTAATTAAATCGATGATATTTACAATGACAATAATGATGACACTAACAACCATGAAAAAAAGTCAATCCAATGTACCAACTTACTTTTTTGATGTTTTTATAGATCCATTCATAATGACAATACTGTATTTCAGCTGTGGTGCAAGTTAAGGTTGTGCATGGGTCATTTTGGGTCGGTTTTGGACCCAAACTCAACCCAACCCATGAATGGTCGGTTTCTGGTTTTCATAACCCAATAGGATTGGTTTCTGGTCGGTTCGGTTTCTCGGGTCCTGAAGTCGGTTTGGATGGTTTTTCGGTTTCTTGGGTTCAACCCATATACTCATGGGTTCTGGGTTTAAACCCATGAGTTTTGGGTTTTAACCAATTTTCCATAAACGAAACGACAACCTAAGTACTTCAAAAAAACACATATTAAAGTTAAATACTTCAAAAAGCATGAGTCATACAACAAACATTCTATTACAAGTTGGAACAAAAGCCCGAAAATAGTCTATTACAACCAAAACACAATCAAGTATGGGTGGTTTCTCAGGTTGGATGGGTCGATTTCTTGGGACGATTTGTCAGTTTTAAGTATGGATCGGTTTCTCAGGTTGGATGGGCTGGTATCTAGGTAAAAAACGTAACCAAACCCGATTTTCGGTTTTTAAAAATATCAAACCCTAACTGTCGGTTCCCTTCGGTTTCGGTTTTTTTGGTTTTGTCGGTTTTAATCGGTTTCTTGGTTTTTTGGTTTGGGTTTTCTCACCCCTAGTGCAAACCCAATCTTTCATCAGTTAAGTCTTCTTGAAACTTCCTGTTTAGGTCCACATGTAGTTAGTCCAAGATAATAATATCCTTTTTAGGAACTTTGTGACAACCCGGAAATTCTATTTTGTACAACCATTCAATCCAATAGAAGTCAAAACAGTTTCTGCTAACTTTCAAGCTTTTTGGATTAAGTTTGAGGGTTTTAAGTTTAGTACTTCAGGAAATATCAGGAGAGAGGATGCCTTAGGGTTTATTGTGCAACAATATTATTCCAAAACTCCAAGAGTTTGGAGTTTACGGCCTAAACAAAGGTGTTTACGACCTTAAACCCTAATGTGGGGGTATATATATGACACTTAGTCATTATTTGCCATTTTTCACAAAACCAAGATCCAAATCTCAAAACTCTCTCAAGTATCATCCAACAATTCTTCAAGATCTTCAACTTGTAAGTGTTTCTAGTCCTAATAAGTTGATATATTACTTAATCTAGTGATCTAACACACTTTCATCCGTGAAATCATTCCAAAAGGTCAGATCTTCAAGTTTCACCAAGAACACAAAGAACACACACTAGTGTTCTTGGACTTTTAGCACCTTTTCAAGCTTCTAGATAGTAATTACTTCTATCCTAGAGTATCTTAAGGCTTGTTACACTTCCATATATCAAGAAATATCCTAAGAAACACCAAGATCAAGGTGTTTACGGTCCAAGATGTTCTTGGACCGTAAACCCTAATTAGGGTGCCAAAGTGTGCCCTAGTCCCTCCTAAGCCTTGGAAACTTGCTTAGATCCCTTCCTTGATGAGTTAAGGGCTTGAAAACATCAAAAAACCATAAACCATATGGGTTTACGGTCGTAAACCCAAAGGAAAATGGTCTAAGGACCGAAAACTCCATTTAGGAGTGAAATGGTGACCTAATCCCTTCCATAGGCTTATACTTCAAGTAGAAATGCTTCTAAGGAATTATAGAGCTTCAAAACAACACATCGTCAAAGGGCATGAGATTACGGCCGTAAACCCATGAGTTTACGACCGTAAACTCAATGAGTGATGGTCATAAGAACCATAAACTCAAATAAGGGCTTTCCTTGAACCTTAAACTCAATAGCAATGTCCTATAACACTTAGATGCAATCCTTAGGATTAATAGCACTTATAAAAGGTGTTTTACATGTCTTAAGATGTCTTAACTTTGTTAATTAGTTGTTTAAAAGACTAATTGGATACATATATTTGTTATTATATGTTAACTAGGATCATTG